AGAAATAACATAAGATACCCTTTCAGCAATCTTTTCTCCAAGTTTGTCCAAAAAGTAACACAAATATATAGATTCAACAGCTAATGCACAGTCATGCTTGATATACTCATGCAACTGAACTACGAAGAGCAGTATGTTTGAGATATCATAAACAAACGTAATTTTTCCTGGCTAGGTCAAAAATACCTGCTCAATTATTATTATTTTCTTTTAAGTTAAAAATTTATTTAATCACGACAAGCTGGTGAATATACTGAACAATCAAGAAGCATCAACAAAGGGTATTCACTTAAGGATAGCACCCCAAAGCTGCTTCTGAAGACATTTTACTCTCTGAATGATGGCATTTGCAAGTCCAGACTTGGAAGTCCTGAACATTTTTATTCATGCATTTCAAGAGATATGTGCCAAAGCACTTTGTATCTTTGACAGTCACTAAACAAAACATTTTAACATTTACCAAGGAACTTTTCATGGCATATAAGTATCTACCTACTACTATATAACAAAAGCAGTGTATGATTTAAAAGATGTACATGAACCCACTAGCTAACATGCATCCTGCTGCCAACAGGTTACTCATTTATTTCCCATGTTACTAAATTGTCAGCAAATATTATAAAATCTGTGAAGTATCTGACTAGGTCTGAATAGACTTAAGGTCGTTTTTAAGCTACAAATGGTAAAGATGTTCAATATGAACATTTTAGAAAGCTCCACACATCAGAACACTCGAAGAGACAGGAAAACTCATCAAGCACACATACAAGAGAATGTCAATGCAAGAATTTCAACTATGTCAGCAGGTTGGAAAAAGAATGGCCTCCAGAGCTCTGACAAGACACAGATGTGCTGGGGTCAGCAAACAAAAGCAGAATGATGCAGGAGTGAAAATCACCATGTAAATACCAGTAGCATTTCACTCTTCAGAACGTCATTGCAATTCAACTTGCAGAGCTCTAATCAATAACTTCTAAATTCAGTACCTTTTCAATAAGAGAACAACTGGTGATATTCATTCCCAAACATATATTTTAAAGCGGTATCTGCTGGGAAACAGGCATTGGAATTTGATAGCTCAACATAATTTTTGGACGCTTTAACTCAGGAAGTAAATTCAATTAACATGGAGCAAGTAAGTGTCTAACTGATAATATAAATACAACCTTTTCCCAGGGCCCTGTTAAACATCTCATAGAGGGATTGACTGGGGATTAACAGTACTAGTAATATAAATTCCTACTCAGCTCATGCAAAATCAGACCACAACAACAAATATTTATATTTAAGCAAAAAATAATTCATATTTTCACACCATGTCATTTTTTATCAGTAAGTAAGTAGGTGAGACAAACTGGGCACATGGGAAACCTAAAAGAAAACATGACAAAATACTCTAAACACTCTGGGAGCAGGGCACAGGCAAATAAGTCATGTACTAAACTGATACAGTCATATATAAGAAAAACGTAAACAAGCAATGTTTATAGATTTGAATACTTCCTTAGGAACTTAAAAAAAGGCCTTAATGCACTTTGAAGACTCAGCCAAATGCAGGCTTGAAATGCAGCAGTACTACCAATACACTAAACTTGGTCTTCAGATATATAAATGTCAAAATATATTGGAAAACACACTTTGAGGCAAAACAGGTAACTTGCAAAAAAGAACAAATAAGTTGTAGAGAGGAAAATAAAGGAAGTTTTTATCGTCACCTAAGTATCTATTCATAGATTTTACTCTTCAAAGTAAAATCCAGTAGCTAGAAACTGAAGCTAGACAAACTCAAACGAGGGAGGCACAAAAAGTTTAACGTTTTGACAAACATCATTTTATAGTACAATGCAACACACAGCAAGTGTTTCCCAGTTCTGGATGTCAATTAACTTCATAAAATCATAGTATAACAGAATTCATTTGTATCTCAACACATCAGCATCATTTTCCTATACATTTTATAAGACAATGTGCCATTTTGACTAAATTTTGAATCTAATTCTCTCTTATTCTGAAAATAAAGCTGAAATTACACTGTCCACGGATGCCTTTAGTACTTCAGCAAGCAGAAAGCACAACACTGCAGGGAAAAAACACCTGCCTTCCGGAGCAGTTTTAAAGTCCCGCTCCCCTCCCTCGCATTTCCAAAACTAGAAGCTCCTCTTGGAAGCAGGATTCCCGTGCCGGACGCAGCTTCCCCAGGCAGAAACCGCCTGCCCCGCCCCGATTTGAGGGTCGGACCCCAGAGCCCCCACACACTGTGCGCGTTGGGGGGACCATGCGGAGCGCGGGGCGATGGCGCCACCTGCTGGCGCCGCGGGGCAACGCGGCCCGGGCCCCGTCCCGCCGGCCCCGGTTTAGCTCCGCCGGACGGGACGGCCCGGCCCCGGTTTAGCTCCTCGGTGCAGTGAACAACTCTCACCTCCGGGAGTTTTCCAGCATTCGGAAGAGAAGCGAGTGGCAGGCAGCGCCAAGCAGGGTGCGAGGGAGTGAAACTTAGTTCTGAGCATTGAAGGATTCGGTCAGGATTCCCGTGCCGGACGCAGCTTCCCCAGGCAGAAACCGCCTGCCCCGCCCCGATTTGAGGGTCGGACCCCAGAGCCCCCACACACTGTGCGCGTTGGGGGGACCATGCGGAGCGCGGGGCGATGGCGCCACCTGCTGGCGCCGCGGGGCAACGCGGCCCGGGCCCCGTCCCGCCGGCCCCGGTTTAGCTCCGCCGGACGGGACGGCCCGGCCCCGGTTTAGCTCCTCGGTGCAGTGAACAACTCTCACCTCCGGGAGTTTTCCAGCATTCGGAAGAGAAGCGAGTGGCAGGCAGCGCCAAGCAGGGTGCGAGGGAGTGAAACTTAGTTCTGAGCATTGAAGGATTCGGTGATGGTTTGGATCTGTTGTGAGAAGGGATAATGGGATGGAGGAAAATTTTGGGGGCTACAACACAAACGCTGTATGTTGGCCTCATGATTGAGATGTCTGGCATCTAATTATAGTGGTTTAATGCATTAGGAGTTGATCTAGTGAAAAAAACAGCTGCTCTACGAGCTCTAGACAGCTATGCATCAGGTACTATTTAGCAAGAGGCTGTTAAAGCTTATGGTTGAGGACTTTAAATCATCAGTGTTAATGACTGTAATATCCAATTCACAGAACTGATGCCAACAGCCTATTAAAATATTAAAAACTTGGCAAATTATTCAAATAGACATTGAGGAAAGCCAAAAAATGTCTTATGTGTGCACGTATTTTCCAGTCAACAGACAAAACTGTTCCTTCCATGCTGCTTAACATGAAAATATTGCTATAGCATTGCATCACTGAAAACTGTTTTGCCAACAGGCAGTACAACAGTGGGCCAAAAATAAAATCCCTCAAAGTATGCCTTGACTGCAGAATACCAAACTCCTGTCTCCCCCCTGACTGTATTCTTCAGTAAATACTCATCTTCCATAACAGAACCACCTCTCCAACAAAATGGAGAACTGAACAACCTCAGCCACTCAACACTCAGGTCAATTTTGGGACTCTTAGAAGTTAAGAGTGGTTTTGGTGAAAAGCTTGTGTCAATACTAAGAATTCATAAATTCAACGAACGAAACGGAGACAGATGATACAACAGACAAAACAAAAATATGAAGACAATTAAAAGCTGGAATAAGAGTGGCCTAAGAGGTTGTTAAAGGTCTATTCCAATCATAAAAAAAATAAACTCCCTGAGAGTTTACAGGTTCCAGTGACAGAGGCCAAAATACCAGCTAACAGTTTCTACAGTATGCACCATCACCCCAGACCAACATCATCAGGTCTCAGCATGCATATGGAAAAACACTAATGTCAACTGTGTTCCTTTCTCTGAAAAAATGTCCTGGGACAAAGCAATTAATGAGCTCAGAAGAAAACAGAGGCACCAATGGGCACAAAAGCTTTCATGAGTCGTTCTAGAAAAAGCAACACAAGAGCACAAAAATGATGGCATGAAACAAGTCTAAGATGCAAACCACAAAATGAAGCTTACTCTTCTATCAGGAAGCTACTGATAAGGGATAATAAGGAGGAGGTTACTTATATATAGGTTAGCCAAAAGCTGGAAAAATGAGAAAGTGGATACTGAAACTCAGTCATAAAGCAAACTACACACATGAACTAACAAAAACCAGAAATGTGAAAAATATTTGTAGTGTTTGTTTTGAGCTAGGGCTAACAATCTTCTTTTATTCTGAAGATGGGAGGTGAAATTTGTTTCTGAAACAGTGAAATTCAAACATTCAAAAATCTTAGATGTGCTTCCTTGGGTAAAGTATTTCAAAATGACTCCTGCATTTTCCATTAATCAGAGCCTGATTAATACAAAGGTAAATCAACACCATAACATAGATTTTCATTACTACATTTGCCTATATTCAACAGTAGCCAGTGTAAAAATTTAAAGCCAAAATAACATTAAACATTAACATTTAAAGCTAAAATAACATTACACCCAAACCAGTTTTGACAGGACATGGTAATCAGTGCCCTTACTTTAACTTCTTACGTTATGTACAAATTAGGAGTTTTAGCTTAAAGAGTAAAAAATAATCCTGTTTTGTGGTTTTTTTTCCAGGGGTTCCATAAAATTAACCTTTATATCACATTGAGTATCATGACAAGCAGAGGTAATCTGCTTGATCAACTGCATTACAGCAATATCACTAAACTACAGATCTAGGGAATGCCAGAAAAGCAACCCTCACATCTTAAATTACCTCTAATTGTAAGGAGTTTTATCTAGACTTACCATATAATCAATATCACACCATGAGCCCTGGCTGCTGCTTTGGAAATTAAGTACTGCTGTGTTACATTTGAAGGAGGACAGTTAAGGGTCCCTGTGAAAATCAAGTCTCATAAAACAGAGGAATTAACTTAGTACCTCAAAAAGAGCACAGGAATAGTTTTGTTCAGATTAGCAGCTGAATACATTTATACTTTTGGAACTTGTAAAAATCTGTGAAGGAACTGTCACTTACTCTGTGTGGCCCTGAAAGACATTCACAGAATGGATAGAAGGATCTCTGAAATCCCACAGACGGAAGGTTGTATCGCGTGATGAAGTAACCACAAGACGTTGGGTGGGATGTGTACAACAATGTGTTAGCTCTTGGTCATGTCCTACAATCACAGATGAGAACATGTAAGGTAATGAAAATAAGACTTTTCATTTCCACATACACTTGGAATGAAATGCTGATGATTTTTTTTCCCCAAACAGTAAAAGAATAATAATAGTAACTCTGAATTCTAATTCTAATTCTGCTGTAAAAGTCTAGAACTATATTTAAAAGCAAAAGAGCCTGCTACTCACTTCATTATTAGGCACCAATAGATTAGTGCTACTTAATATATCATAAACACAGCAAAAGCATTTTTTAAGAATGGAAATTTAGCTACTTTCAGTCTAAAAACAACTACTTCATAGGATAGGATATATCACAAGCTTAAAAGAATACAAATTTATGCTTAGAGAAATAACAAGATTGGAATTTTAGAAACCGTTACAATGTTGAGCAGCAGCTCAAGTCTTGTACACACTCAAATCATACTCCAAAGAAACAACTTACTTTTCCCAGTGTTTCTACATCTACAAATAATCCCACATATAAAAAGAAACCAATTTGTCTTTTTGTGAGCGAAAAATACCTGTAAGAGAATGGACAAGTTCGGAAGTCTCTACATCATACAGATTGGCTGTCCTATCCCATGATGCTGTCACAGCCTGCTTCCCCCCAACCAGCCAGTCGGCTGCTATGACCACTCCTTGATGGCTTTTGAGTGAAGTTAATGGGCCTCTGACAGTGGGACAATCAGTAGAACCATCTCCATCTCCATCAGGTTCATCTTTGTCTGAGACCTCAACCTCATCTTCTCCAGACATTTGCTATAAAATGCAAGAGAAAAAAGACTTAGAATAAATGGGAAGGAATGTCTCTAAATTCCATTTTACAGTACAAACACTTCCCACTCCTGTTAATGTGAATCTAGCCTATTCAGGTATTCACTATCAAAAACTCAAGTTGAAGGAGTACCACCAGTAGTTAAATGCAGTTTTAATAACTACTTCATTTTTAAAATTTGTTTCAAACTATTTAGCTCCAAATATATGTCCACTGGACTATCTGTTAAGTCTTTTATATTCCCCTTACTGTGTTTCACAGTATTACTGACATCCCCCTTGAGTTTCACTGCAGCACATGTATCAAGAGACTTTTTCCCTTTACATTTTTACAAGTAGGAAGCATCTAACAGGAAACTGACTACTTTAATCTTTGGAAGATAATTACTGAGATATTTTTATCCATTAGAATCAAAATTACTACATCAATATTTATCTTTTGGTCAATGCACAGTCATCACACAGTGCTGATGTAAACTGGATGCAAAAGAAATTATTTGGCTACCCATGATGCAATAATCTCTAACCCTATTTCATTTACATAAGACAAATACACTTTTCTTTCATGACATTTGGATGTGAAAAAGACAACATTTGTACTGCTCTTTCAAAATGGAAATGCCAAATCAAATAAACTGAATCAAACAATTCCGACTCAGAAAGCTATCTTGTATTATACAGCCATCTCTTGCCCCTACTCAGCTTACTGAGAAGCTCAAACTATAAACTATGTTTGTCTTCACAATTTAGTAAGCATGCTTTTAAGTAAAATACAATATTTGAAAATCAACAGTAAACACTGACAAAAAAAAGCCTGAGGAAAACTATGACTATGATAAGTACTGGCAAGGGTTGATTAGAAATAAAATGTAAAAGTACAATTAAACAAATGCCAAAAGTACAAGTCTTTACCATCAGTTTTCAATTCATAGCAACAGGTGCTTCAGTATATTAAGCTACAATATTTCAGCTAGTTTTAAAAGAATTTCATTTTTTATTTATTAAAATAAATTACTTGACAGTTCATTTACTTACATGTTTATTACCTTGAACAAAAAGTCAATTAATGCACTTACAGCTGCATATTCTATTCTGCACCATAAACCTTTGAAAACATGAAGTGAGTTTATGTTGAAAGAAAGCCTGAAATATATCTGTCAAACTAAAACCTTAAAACCCCACCTTTCACAATCCAGAAATCATGTAATTTTTTAATTATGTATAAATTTCACATTCAGTCTTATCAGAAAACCTGTATCTGATGAAATTGCTGTGCAATTACTTCAGCTGCAGTAAGTTGATTGCTTACATTGCAGTCTGCAGTTGGCTGAGGTGTAGGCAACTGTACTATGTACCTCCAGATGTGAGCTGTCTGGTCTCCAGATGCTGCAGAAGGGGAAGAAGGGAAAAAGAGAAAGAATAAATAAAAGCATTTCCATGGACAATAAAAACAAGCTTTAACATTACATTTGCAATACTGTCCAAGTTGCATGCATTTTTAGCTGACACCATTGCAACCTCTTTGGTAAGCAAGTCTCAACATCAACAGTTGCTCTCCTTGCTTCAATCCTGATAACAACATAACTTGTTATGCAAAATGTAAGTAGCTACTAAATTAATAATTTCTACAGTGAAAATACCCACTTAATACTACACATCAGAACAAATATCACTGCTGTCCTAACATGTAACACTCAAAGAAGGCATCTAATACATGAACAGGTGCTATCGTTTAGGTCATCAACCTTGTATGATTTCTGATGACAATATTCTAGAGGAGGGAAGAAAGTTTTTTATTTTAATCAACTGCAAATTCATCAAGTGACACCAAAGAACAGGACACACAAAAACTTTCAATGGAAATATTTTGCAGAAAAATAGCAGAACAACAATGATCTAGCTATGGGCTGCTTTGTCTGGTTGGTTTGGTTTTTATAAGTCAGTTTAGACAGCAACATTGTTGATGGTATTGAAACATTGACTGAAGTTGGCATACCACCGCAGGAAAATACAAACAGCTGAACTAATCCCTGTTACCCTAGATAGAAGGCATTCTACTCCCTACTTTCCTTTAAAGTAGTCACTGTAGATTAAGAAAGAATCTCTATTTTAATTTCTAACCTCAAAAATAACTATATTCATTTTACAATGACTTACCAATACCAGTAAATTTAACCCAGATTTCTTTAATCCCAAAGTATGTGCCCTAATTGCTGGACCATATGAACCACAGTTACATCAGTTTTCAAATCTGAAGCACTACTGATAATATTCTAAGTCTTGCAAACACCTTTACACTGTCATATTTTTGAGCTCTTTTTTCTGCACACTCCACAACATTATTTCCCCTTACTGCTGGAAATGTTGCCCAGGGAAGCTGTGGATGACCCCTTCCAGGAGGTGTTCAAGGCCAGGTTGGATAGGGCTTTGAGCAACCTGACCTAGTGGGAAGTGTCCCTGCTCACACAGGGAGATGGAACTAAACGATCTTTAAGGTCCCTTCCAACCCAAACCATTCTATGATGCAATAACAAGTATTTCAAAAGGGTTAAGATGCATGACTCCAAGTGTTTGTTTTGGAGCAGACAAGCACTAATGACAATGATACGACAAACACAGATGGAAAGATTTAGCTCTCATTTGCTATGGCTTAAAATATAAAAAAAATTATATCAACAATGCTAGCAATTTACACCTGTTTTTCCGTTATGATTAATACACTCAATATATGAAAAAACAGTACATACCTGTAAGAGCCACTTGCTCAGTTGGATGAAACTTGATGGAATTTACTGTATAAAACAAAGTAAAGTTGTAAGCTAGTGTACTAAAGTAAGTACTTCACACTACTTTATCATTGAAAGTATTGAAAAATCAGGAAGTATTCAGCTTTCAGTAATTTTTTGTAAAATAGAAATTTCTCAGGTGAGATAAAACACAGTGGTATTTTATTTTAATATATAAACCTATGTAATATCAAGGAAACCAGCTATAATTGACTGTACTACATATTTTCTAGCAAGTTATTTGCCAAATCAAGTACAAGTGCTTCATGTTATAAAGGAATAAACAAGCCACATTTAAAAAAAAAAAAAATAATTTTTATAATGCCCTGGACTTCCACAAAGAGAATTTAAGTATCCATAACTATTTCTAACATAATTAAAACTTACTCTGTATGACCATTAACTTTCTGATCATTGTGTAAAATTGCAAGAACAAATGCCTGAAAACCTAATTACACAAATTAGATTTTTCTCTGGAGAATTTAATTCTAATTGGATCTTTGCCACAAAGTTCGTGTGATGTGCCAGCTGAGTTTCTTAACCAAACACACCAGGTGAATAACTGTGTCCCTCATTTTCTGGGCACATGACTCTACACTCCAGGTTATGATCACTCAAAGTGCTGAACTCTCAATAGCAAGTCAAAGCTATGGGGAACCTCTCCACCTTTGGTCTACAAAACCCTGTATTGTTACCCATTTTGAGACAGAAGGGTGCAAATTAGGTGCTTGTCAAATTGGATACCAAAAATTAATATTCACATCAAAAACACTTACTACACTGCACCTCTCCACCCAAGAAGTGCTTTAAAGACACTGTTTCTGAAATATTCTACTGGTATAGAGGAAGGCAAATGCCTATATGGAATAAATAGTTTTAAATTATTAGCTGTCTTCAAGTTTTTAAATACTGTACAACACATTATACATGGTATCACACTAAACAAAGAAGTGCAAATAGATGGTCACCCAGCATCCATACCTTGAATCCCAAATACAACACAGATCCTGCAAAACAGCTAATTTCTTATTATATAAGCTTCTCTTGTTCTGCATATGCATCAAGACCTCAACACATTCTGACATTTAGCTTCTGAGTGTCGTAACTGTGCCTCTACGTTTCTTTGTATGGACTTGTTTATTCGTTTAGCATTTATGGAACTGTCTTAATACACCTCTGCAAGAAAGAATTGTATGACAAAACATTCTCTAGTGGATCTTCTCAACTGACTTGCTAATGGTATTGGCAAACCTGCAAGTGAAACTGCCATAAACATTTTAGTAGTTGTCCAAAACACATTTCTCCCTCCCGAACACATTCTTTTTCCAGTTTTCACAACATACCCTTATCTTACCTGATCCGACATGCCCTACATACTTGGTAAGGCACTTCCCTGTTTCTATGCTCCACAGCAAAGCAGTGTGATCTACAAAGATTAAAAAGTAGCTGTAAACATTGTTACAAATGTATCTTTTTCCACTTGTAACCCTTTCAAAAAACAAAAAAAATGTTTGAATGTACAGCATACCATACAAGACAGACTTCAAATGCAGAACCGACCCAATCCTCTTTATTACCAGCTTATATATAAAATATAAAATCTTTCTAACATTACTACTTAAAACACATCTCCCCCCCAAAAAAGTAAAGGTGCTGTCCCAAGATTGATTTGCAGTAAGCACTGAAAGGCAAATTCTACTTCTGATATTTTTTCTAACTTGTGTACAATGCTCCAACTGTGTATCACGAGATTCAGAAAGAATACAGAAAACATTCAGCACTGAAAAAGTCAGACAGTCACTACAAGCAAGAATTCTACACACAAACTATTTACTTCCTGTATAAAAGCCCCAAATGTGTATAGGTCACTGCAGAGCACTACAAAAACCTAACTTAAAAGGAAATCATTCCAAACGCCATTCCTTTACCCCGCCACACCCCAAAAGAAAGAATTTATATAAACATTTGTAAGTGAAGAGAACCTTAACACCAAATTGGAGAATGGCTGTTTCCAAGTTAAATCAGGACAAAGACAAGATACCACACACAAAGATGAAATATGCCCCCCAGTGGACCCATACAAATGTAACAATTTAATTTGTAAAACTGAGGTTTCTGATCCAGTGTCTTCAGATTCTGTTCCAGCTTCAAAACACTGTCACTTCAAACTGACCAATTCTAACTAGTTATCGTTTATTTCCCTAATAATTTTCCAAAACCACACACTCCTCAATGATACAGTGACTTATTCATTAGTACCAGCTTTCCTCTCAAGTGGGAAGGAAGGATGGCATCTAGTAGATTAATGAGAACTGAAAATTAAGATTTTTTTAGCTGACCCTACATCCTTAGACAAAAGCCAGATGATTGTAATAATACAAGAATATGCAAACTATGACTAAGTCTATGACTTCTATAAAACAAAGGCTAAACATACTATGACAAAGTCTGTGGGTATCTCTTTATACAGCACCATGCAGCTCCCCAACCTGCCTGTTAACACCAACCAACAGGCTAGAGCTGAGGCTAAGGAGAGCATGACCTGCATGAAGTTAACTGGCACAGACTTTAAAAAGGTCAACAAGGATGGCTGAACCTTCTAAAGGTTAAATGCGTTTCAAGGAAACTGCAATTTAAGAATTTTTCGGCAACTGAACTTCTTTAAATCTACTCATGCAATGTGGAACTCAGTGGTGGAGCTCAGTATTCCTGTATGCTTTTGATCTACATTTGATATAGTTTAGGGACTAAACCAGAATTTTCTAAAGATTCAAGCAACACAAAACTTTACCAGCAGATGCAGTTCCCAACACCACTGGTTGAGTTTTCGCCACACTGACATCCCAAATACCATCCCTGTGGCCAACATACTCCTTTACCAGTTGACAGATTGCCCTTGATGTTGTGGTTTTAAAACTGGATACAATCTGAAATAGCAGAAAGACCAACATTTTTTTTCCATATTGACCAACATTAAGTATCTCACAAATACAAATAGATACTAACTTTTTCATAATGGTTCCTTCAGTGTTCTGACAGTTCAGGACTGTCAGGATTTGACATTTGATGGTTGGAAAGTGAGTTTGGATGCAAATGCACCTCAATTACTTGTTTCTCTTTTTTTTTTTTTTTTTTTTTTTTTTTTTTTTTTTTTTTTTCTTTTCTTTTTTAGTACTCGTCCCCCCCTTTTTACAAAAGGCAAGATAAACTACTCTGTACTACAATAACACAACCTCATTGGAGTAATGAGTTGTACAGTGTGCACTTCCCATCTGGTTTTGGTAAAGGACTAATTTTCAAACAAAACATAAAATACCCCAAGAACTTTCCTTGCCTATTCCCAAAGAAGGATACATCTGATAATGTAAAAAGATTATTTATGCAATCCAGTGTAATGTCTTTGAAAAAATGTACTACTAATAATTCTAGCAAAATCTAGAAACATTCCCATTTAAAAAACACTTCTGTTTTTCTTCAAAACTGCAAAAAGCTAATCAAATCAAACATTAAACCAAGAGCATATGCCCATTTATTGGTGCAATAAAACTTTTTTTGAAGATATGTCAAACTCATCTAAGCATTTGATAAGCACATTTCCTCAAAGTCAATACTGTTAGAGGAAAACAGAGAAGACTCATTAAACACAAATTAGTATGTGCATAAGTAATACCAAATAAAAGGAACAAGTCTAGCAAAAATGGTAACCCATGTTACCAAAAATGCCACTATAGTACAGGAAGGCTGAAAACACTAAATATCTACAAAAAGGAGTTGCACCTTTTCAGATGAAAGCAGTGTGAAATACTTTTAAAAAACTGTCTCTCTGTAATACTTCCAGAGACAACTAAAATAAGAAGCAGTGAAAAATTACTTCAATAAGAGCAAAACCACCTTTAAAAACACTCTACTTTTACCCGCAAGTCTTGAAGGTCATAATTCTGTGTTGAGAAAGACTGTCTGAAAAGCTTTGTTAAAACTGAAACAAAAATATGACTTTGATTTATCAGTGTTTTCTTCTGCATGCAATTATGGGCAGGTATCTATCTGACCAGCTAAGTCAAAACCTTTAAATGTTTCAACACAAATCACATTAAGACTTATCCACAGCTTCATAAAAGTTAGGAAATTAATTAGGTCTACATTTCAAATACAATAAACTAAGGTTAAAACCCTGTTAGTTTTTTTTTATCAAAAAAGGTCTTAAGTATGTCATGAAAAATAATTACTTCCAAAATTGTTTTTAAAAATAATATCTGCAAGAGTATTCAAAATCCTGAGCATGTCAACTTTCCAATGATGAACTTATAATATCCTGTTTGAATCCCAAATTAACAGCTAATACGCATTTCAGTTTCACAGTAGAATAAAGAAAAAATATTAAGACTGCATTGAAAATCAAATGGGTTAATGGTAAATAGTATTCGTTCAACCACACTGGAGAGTTTCATAGGCTTTGGATACAATCCTACAGATGCAACTTTCACACTTAATATAGTCCTAAAACTAAAGAGTCATGCTTGAGAAGTGGAACAGGAGAATTAAGTAAACAGTTAAGGACTAATAGAGCACTCAGCTCAAATTCCAAACCTGAAGTTTTTCAACACTCAACCCCATATTCAAACTACATTTGCGTTCTGTCTAATGTTGTGTCAAATCCCCATGCAAAGGTTATCTAGGAGAAAAGCATGCACAGATTTTACAGAACTGCTGGACAGTGGTTTCATTGACCATTTAATGGGAAGGCTGTGAAACTGCTTTTGGAGTATCAGCATTCTTGAATTAACACACAAAAGATAAGAGTTGGAAAACATTATCTAACACTAAACACCCACATACACACATTTAACACTTTTTCTACACATTTTTTTCTTCTTCTTTATTTCTTTCTTGTTGTCCCTCACCTTCATATAACGGTAATAGTGCCTTGATTACTCCCTGGTTCTTTAACAATACATAAACATTTTTCCAAAAAGGAAAGGAAATACTTAAATAACATGCAGCTTGCTAAAAAGAGGCCTCTGCATTGCAGTGTTTTTAAAGTCACTTCAGCAGATCTCAGATTTATCATATACAAATGCAAATAAGCAGCCAATTGCATCTTGACTGTGTTCCAGCTTAGTCTGTCCTCTTTTATAAAACCACAGTTTCATGTACTTCCCTCTGCAGGGAAATTTGTTAATACAGAAACAATTATATGCCATGTAAACAATTGAAACTGAATACAAATTGAAACAACTGCATGGCAAGTGAATTGAAACACACTAAAAGTGTCTCTTAAGAGGACAGGACACATTAGAAATAAGAATGAAAACTTGGTCAACTCAGGACCGGTCCAGCAGCATTACACTGTGACTGATGAACAGAATTTCCTATGGAGTAACATTAAACAGGAAAGTAAAAAACTACATCTTCCAAAAAGTTGTATTCCCTTAACTGCTGGATGAAGAAATACCTTCCTTTAAGAGTCCTCTTCCTGATACAAAAGAATCAGAGATCCTGGAAGTTAGTTTATACTGCAGCAGGTTGTATCATTTCACTTTACTTTAGGATTCTGCATAAACTGTTAATATTTTCCTGATGTCTTTGCAATTGTCATTGCCAGGGACTGTCAACAACACCAGTAACAACTTGTCATAAAACCTGAATTTCACATAGCGACTCCCGCATCTACAAACAACTGCAGTTAAATTACAGGATCTTGTCCATTAACATAAAAAAATATATATATTTAGAATAACAAGCACTAAGTCTACTTTCTCTTCAGGATTTGGACACTGGTGGATAACCCCTGTTGTTAAAAGCATCATTTTCCAATATAAGATTTGCCAACTTAATATAGAAGCTCCTAACTCAGCTGAGGGATTAAAAATTTCCAGGGAAGGAAAATTTCTATGAAGGACCTGAATTAAGAATGTTTACCTCAGCATTTTCCCCAAGAAAATTAACACATTGCTTTAGTTTTAGCATATTTTAACAATGTTAAAGCAGTCAAGTGCCAGTCTTCTCATTAAAACTAGCAAATATTGAAAGCTCTTTTCAGAACAAATAGTACAGGTTGGCAATCAGAAAAAAGTAATTGTGTGCAATGACACAAAACAATCAGTTTGTAAAATTAAAGACTCTTCTACTTACCCACAGGGAAAAACAAAAACTTGGAAAAAAAAACCACATCAAAACAAACTTCTGACAAGTTTTTAATCAGGCATACAGTAACAGTATAAAGGATGATGGGTTGAAAACTCATGATCCACTCCTGCACTGAGTTTGGAACACACCATGTTTTTGGAGAACAGCATTGCTCATTCAATGCCTATAAAATATATAGGCATTAGAATTTCAAAGGTGCACAACTCCTAAAACTCTTCAAATCTCATTTTCCCAGACAGTGTGTTAGGGAACTCTAACTGCAACCACACTATTTTTACTCTTCAACTTTCAGACTACTTAACAGATAGGATTTCCAAGAAACCTACAGCCATTCCATAGCCACACATTAGCCTGCTATACAGGTGACCACAGAGGATCTTACATAGCTGGTTCACATACCAGACCCCACTGTGCTTTTCTCACATTTCATTTACCTGTAAAAATGTATCATGAAATTATCCTAAGACATGGCAAAAAGAGCAGCAAATAAACTCCCTGTGAAGACTGAAAGAGGAGAGTGAAAAACAAAAATACCAGACCAATGCAATGTGCAAAACAAAAAACATCAGAAAAGGTGACTGTGCCAAGGGAACAGGGAAAAACGATCCCCAGCTACTAATTCGCAAGGCTTGCAAGATAAAAGGAACAAGCTGTTCCAGTCTCACAGCTAAAAAATGTAATTTTAACAATCCACAAAACCCCTAAGAGTACACACATTGATGCTCACTTAAAACTCCACTGCAACTGCAACACACAAATCTTTATTTAGAAATTCACTACCTACTAAGTTCTCTATTTCCTTCAAGAAATTTAATTTCTTTAGTTCTCTTTACAAGACTAATCGCAGGTACACACACGTGCACACATTGTCTTCCCCTCCAACATTCATTATTTTAAAAAAGTAGCAATTATTGGGAAAATGTAATACAGTGTGGTTGAAGTAACGCGTGATGGATTAATCCAAGATAAAGATAGTGTTCCTCATGAGGCAGGTTTTCTCAAAGAACAGCACTACTCAGCTTCAAGAAACCACAATTTACAACTTAAAGACAACCACACTATCTACACATGGATGAGTAGAGGCTTAATTTGCTTCATACCTTGCTAGTAGATGCCTTGTAAGTTGTCTTTAATTTCTGAGAAAGCTGACTGGTACTATGACTGGCTGTTGAGACAAATTCAAAAGAAGACATTTCAAATACAACATTAGCTTATTTGTATAAGTAACTGGCTCTAAGTTTTAGCCAGAAAAGTACACAAAAAGTAAATTCAAAAACTCTAGTTCAGGATTCTTTGTGGTTTTCTTACCTTTTGCTTTCAGCTGTCCTTTGCTCAGTTCAGCTCCATCAACTGTCTGTCCTTCACCTGCTAAACGCTCATTCAGTGTATCAATCTCTCTACGTACTAACAATAACAAAAATTCACATTAATATAAAAAAAATGAGTATCATTAACAACATAAGTAACATACTATTTAAGAATTGTTATAGTTAGTGGGTAATCTGTTTTATGTTAAGGACAGGAAAAGATCAACTGTGATTTTATAAAAGCAGGTCTCACCAAGATATCAGACTCATGCTGAATTTTCTGTAGATCAACCCTGACCTAGGTTCCAGGGAAAGTATTAGTAGCTTCTAATCACTGTTACTTTTCCTAATAAATGTGGCTAAGGATTAACAAAACAGCTTCTATGAAATACACGCCACACCTGATTCAATCAAATTCAACAGGAAAACAGAAAACCTGCATCATCATATATATTTCAGCCACAGAATTAGTAAGTAATTTCTTGACAAATATTTTATTAATCACGTAATAGTATTGTCCCCTGAAAGCCTGTCTACTGCTAAGAGTTTTGGTAAGAAAGGTAGTGAAGCAAATTTTAAGACTTTGAAATACATTACAGATGAAGAATTATGTATACATTTTACATTAATATGTTTCAGACACACTAAATAGACTCAAAATATTTTCATTGCACATAAGACAAAGCATGTATTTGTAACAAGAATATACTTTTCTGTCAATTACTTATAACTCTCACCAGTGCTATTTCAACACAAAACAGTGATGGCACAGCTAAAACAAGTCAGGTACTTGTAAGTTATTTCCAGTGGCTGGGCTGCTTCAAAATTGCTCAACTTGGATTTCAGAATAAAACTTGATTTTATAAAGAAAAATTTCAGTTATTTATAGGGCATCTTTTTCTCAAAATCTTGGCTGATACTCTTAACTGTTCTCCTCAGGTGAATTCTTATTAAGATTTGCTTTTTCGCTGTTTTTAAGAATATGTCTAGCTCTGTCTTTCCACAGATTCTGAGGACTTCTTTAAAAAAGTCACTCACTCCAAGTTTCTGAAGCTGGGGGGGGAGAGGAGGCATGTGTGGAAATCCCTACTTTTCTTGCTGCCAGCCAACTTCACCTTCTTCGCTCAAGAGTGAAAGGAAGATGACACACATCAGTTCTCACTACTTGTGTCAAAGAACTAAGAAAGTGATTTTTCTGAAAAGGTACAAGCCTCATCTTCAGCTACAAGTTCAAAGTAATTCTTACACTCACAGAAAAGCTATGATAATTACAATACAGTAGCCAAGTGTCTGAATTAGCACTACTATATTCCAAATCCAAACAATTCATAAATTGCTGGAAAAAAAGAGATACTCACATTCTAAATTTTCAATATACAGGTTTTCAAACTCCCGCTCTATTTGTCCAAAAAGTTCAAGGAGTGTATTGCGTACAGAAGATGGTAGTTTAGAATCCTAGAAAGTAAAATGTTGGGGTTTAAATTTTTCTTCATATAGTTTACCTTCAATCTTAAGCTGATTTTAACAGTTCTATCACCCTGCAAGGAAGAAAATTAAAACTACTACTAGTGTAGAACACAAAACAAAAAGCACTGTGCATCATAAAATTATTCATTTTGCAAACTTTTTATATTTCAAGGGACAGAATTGAAATCACATTTTTCTTTTTTTGTTTTTTAAAGATAATTAAAGAAAAAAGGTAGAAAAATATCTATATACAATGTCAAGGTTCAAGTTAAAGAAGAACAAATACCTTTGGTTAACAAAGTTAGTTCAGAAATTCACTAGGTTAGGAAGTTGTCACTACAAAGCACCTTATTACCAAAGCTTGAGACAAACTAACCTTTTAAACATATTTTTAACATTGACCCATTTTTTTCACTAACCAGAATGAAGAATGAAGGAAACTGCAACTTCTAATCATTCCCTCCCCAGATATTATTCAAACATCGTATCTTCACAAAAAGTATTTTGAAGCAAGTTCACAGAGGAGGGCTGATTTTTTTTTTCATTGTAATCAACATACCAATTCTGAGGCACAAAAACATGAATTTAATAGAACCACTAAGACAGGATCTATATGATCTGAGCTCAATACACAGCTTGACCATAAGTTTATGTCGGCAAGTTAAATTAAATTTTCTTCATCTGCCTATAAAACAGAAAACTACATTTTCCCTGAATAAATGCATACCATATCCAAAGCAAGGAAGGACCAATTTCTGCTGGGAAGCAAGATTCTCACTGTATCAACAATTCTGTTATCAGTGTTGAGCATTGAGTAAAGCAGGAGGCAACGGACTGCAGTACACTTAGAACCCAGTACTAACAAACATCTTAAAATGTAAAGCACAGTGTACTACTAAAAAACATTAAATTAGAAAGGAGAAACTACAGTCATTACTCTAATAACTATAATCAACTAATCCACTCTAGTATGGATTAAAGGATGAATCATCCTTGCTCACTATGTAAATAATTTCTACTAAACCTGTTCTATTCTTCAGTTGCTGATGGACCACAATCTGTAAATTGGCTTACTGCACTTATTATTTATCTAGGTAGCCAGCTATAAACTTTTTAGTAAGTATTCCACTTAAGTGAGCCTTAACCTAACAACAAAAAGATCAACTATTCCTTTGTAGCATATATAATCAGTCAACTCAGAATTCAGTACAACAACATCTTATTACTGGACAAATCTGTAAATAACGAAGCTGCATTCAAAAACTAAGAAATATCTACGCGAGGAAACAAGTTACCAAATTTTGAAGTGAAATGATTATGGTATCATGCATGCCATATTATTAAGATATCAATGTTCATCTATCAAATATACAGGACATGTGCCTAACAGCAATATCTACTTTTTTTAAACCAAGCAAAAGTATGTAATTTCAAAATCTTGAAATCATCAGCTATGAGCAAAAAAGGAAAATTGAGTCAGCTTCTGCCACAGCACAAAGCACTATTTCAGGTCTAGAAGTACAGAAGAAGCATTACTAGAACAGCAGTACAAACGCTAGCACAGGACACTACTCAAATCCAAGTGAACTTCATTATTCAATGCAAGTTTAAGGATGACTATAGCTTATTTTGTACTTAAGTCTTCCAGCAAACCTAAAGCAAAAGAAATTGGTTTCATTCATATAAAAAAACTGATTCAATTAGGGAAGCCTGTGCATACTAGCCATCAGAGGGCAGCACACACCTTCCCACCAAATCAGCATCTAAACAATCAGAAATTAATCTCACTCATGTTTATGTTCACATAGACAAGATTATTGTCTTCAGAAATAATTAAAATGGCCTATAATGATCCCGATTTTATAAGTTATTTCTGAACATCAATTTAAAGAAGAGCAAGAAGAACCACTAACAGCCATGACACAGAGGATATCTGCTGTGTGCATAATTCAGTTTCATACCAGTTTCACAGCTACTTTAAGCTGACAGAAACACGCATCATGCTGAAAGAAGTGGTCCTATGCTCCTTATGCCCCACTAGGATATTCCTTTTGGCATCTTCACTGCCTCTCCCTTGAGGCAACACACTTGTTCATGCATTCACAGTCAATCAGAACATGAAACAGATCCCGATTAAAACTGACTTGAAACAAAACTGATTAAACAGGAACACTGTACAAATTAAATACTACTAAGTAATACACGAAAATTAGAATAATTATTTTTTACTATTGGGTTCAATTACCCAATAATTCCACACAACAATGTTGTGAAAGAAACTTTTCTATTACTTTCAAAACAGGAAAGGAGATGTAATCAAGATTTTCAATCCAATTCTCGGAGCCTGAAAGCATAAGCAAATCTAAACTTGTTCTAAAGTAACTAGAACAGCATCCACCACTTCCTTTGCTCTCTTTAAAGTCAGATTTAAATTAACTTATTAAAATACTATGCAATGTTATCTCTTTATCTGCAAAAGTACTTATCTAGATCTTACGCAGTTTACTGCCTCACTGTGAAGGGACATTAATACTGTCTACTTGTTAGAATCTACCGCTGTTTCTTCAAGGTTAAAGGTCCACAAAATTAAATAAAATTAAACATCAAACATGTAAATATGACAGCATAATACACTTACAGAGCTTGAAACAAATCCTAAAACAGTTTAAAATCTTGTTTTACTGCAGAGAAGTGATAACATGCCTCGAGCTCTCAGCCACCCTTCAGTTCTTTCCCAAAGGCTGTGACTGTTGCATCATCTTTGCCAGTCCCGCATGAACAAAATGTAGTCAATTTGACAACAGTTTTCAAACTGATCCTTGCTTATCTTTGGCAGCATTACTTCAAACACTCCCTTAGGTGTTCAGGAGTCTTACCTACAGTTAATCTCAATATTGTTAAAATGGCCTCAGATGGCATTCACTACACTGACTAACATGACTAAGAAAATTAGAGAAGTTTGTGATTTTTATTCTTTCTCTGAAGCTTAATACACAAACAATCACCCCTTCATTTGACCCAAATTAGAAAGAAAAAAACAAACAAACAAAAACTGAAGTTAAGCATATGCCTTTAGCAAGCTGACACTATTTGTTTACTTTATGGAAAGGAATGCAGAATAGCATTCCCACTAATACATTCACTGTCAGAGTTTCACTAACATATTTTGGTTTACTCCTATTCCTGAGTTACTATTATTCCCAATTCAAACTGATGAAATCAAGAATTGATCTTCAACTGCGGGGAGGGAAGGTGCATCTAAATAATTAGGCTACTTCTTTGTGATTCTTCATGGTATTATCATTCCTGTAAGAATACACAAAAGCCAGACAAAAGCTCCACAAGTCTTTATAGGACCTGAATCATAAAAATGTTATGGAAGTTACCTAAGCAGCAGTATGTCATCTTACCTGCCCTTCCAACATGTCTCTCTGCAGTCCTGCCCGTTCTTGCTCGGAACTGTTGGTTCTTCGGATTGAAAGACTGTGTGATTTACGTTTCTGCTTTGCTTGGCGAGCAGATGCACAACTTCCACTTTCTATTGGCATTACTTCAAAAAAACAGCTTCACGGAGGGTCCTATGATAAACTAAGGACAAGTATCACACTTTACAAATTGCTTTGCCAAGCTAACAAGAATTTTTGTTGGTTGTTTTTTTTCTTCAAAATAGAAATATTTAGTTCTAATTAATTTCTGAGTTGTTTGGGGTGTCATTAAAATGAAGGGATCCCTATTACTTACAGGTACTCTTCAAACAACATTTAGTTCAAAAACATCTATGCATATACATAAAGTGAAATCACTTTTGCATTACTTATTCATTAGCTAACAAACCTCCACAAAAGGAAAATAAATACCTTACTCATTTTGGAGAACACTAGCAGAGACAGCCCCAAAATGCTTCCAGGAAACAACTATTATGCATACTATATTTCACTGAAACGCATGCAAAATTAAAACCCAGCTGGAAAACAAAAGCAAAAAGGCATGGTAATTTAGGGACACTGTCAGGTTAAAAATTATGCAAAATTAGGTGTTAGTATACAACGTTTAATAGATGTGCTTGTTTACACATACGTAGAAATTTATTTTAATTACATACTTTCCACCATTTTTGACAGCCCACAGTTTCACTTTCTTGGGCACAAAAAGTGTCCATGAACTTACGAGAAGAGTGGAAGTGCACCTGACTTACCAGGCTGTTGTTGCTGTTAATTTTTATAAGCTTGTTGAAGTCAAATATGTAGTTAAATATCCTTAAAAACACCTGACAGTATCACCAATTAATATTACCATGCATGATCTACTGCTTTCCCGTGTTTAAGAAAAATCAAATTGTTTGATTTCTTGCATAAACATGGTGAATATGTTCTTTACTGTCAAAATCTTATTTTTTTACAAACATTTAATTATGCATTTTTAATTAAACCTGATTTTCAACAGAAATTATTTTTAGTTTCATGGGGTACCAGTTTAACATTTCAGATGTTTTAAGATTGATTACTCAAAATTTTTTAATCATTAACATTGATGGCAAAATAAAAATTCATTCTCCAGCATACATGATTTCTGAGACAACAATTACAACTTAAAATAGCTGCAACAGTCTGCAGAGAGATAGGAGAGCAGAGCTGGCAAAGCTAACAAGGCAACTGAGCTTCCTTTTAAATAAGCTCATCAAGAGAAAAATTAAACCAAACCCAGGGCCACTTCCAATTTAAGATCTGCCAACACACTAGATCTCAAGCTAGGAATGAGCACCATCACAATTAACAAGTCTAGGCATTAACCAGTTTGATGGTTTTGACATGTTTTGTTCAGGTTTTTAACATATTCATAAAGCCAAGGAAAAGTACAGCTTACTAAAAACATGGTATGCACCAGTAATAAAAACAGCTTTGAATTTGCTTTCATTTTTATATCACAAAATGAGAATACAAAAATATATTTAAATTTGTATCAAAATAGGACTAGATTTAGTTAAGGTTTTGTGCCCTTCTGGCCTCAAATTTTCTCATTAAAAAATCTGGTGTTTTAATTGCTTTTGGAACACCTGAGTTCCAGTAACCTGACACCAATTCCACAGTGAATCTAAAATAAAATTCAGGTTGCACCAGTATCTTGTACTGCACTGAATTTTTTTTTTATTTTTTTTTTGCATTTCCTCTGGACTCTGCACAGTCCTCCCCGGCACCTAATCCCATCAGAGCTTTTTATGTGTGATTAATCAGTAGTAACTAATCAGCTATTCTCACAAATTAAAGAAGAAAGAAGAGAGAGAACTACCTAGCATTGGGTAGTTTCTTATCTGACTTAGGTTTCTTTTTTTTTTCCACTATGGCAACATTCCTCTGCCACAGGAAACAGGACTGAAATTATAAAAAGCCCATCCCATAAACAAGTTATTGTCTATTGTCTGGGCTTTGCTAAGTATCTTTATATTCCCAGACATACAGTCAACAACTACGGGCAGGTTTTCAGTGCTTATCTCATTTCTGTTTCTTTTCAAAGTATGATCAGATCCCAAACACATGAACATTCTCTTCTTTTCCACCCTCCTTCCTATCACCCTTGGGAACCACTCTTCCAATGGCTTTCAGTTTACTGGTTTCTGCAGTGTTCTAATTATTTTTAAGGCCCAAAGCACCAAACTCTACATGCACATACAAAGACATGTTAAAGTTTTTTATCTATACATACAGTTACATATTACCACATCAACCAGTTAACACTGTTTCACTCAAGATCTATGGAAAAAAAAATATATAATATATTCCTAAAATATAATATTATATATTCCGAAAATATAATATATTCCTAACAGATTTAGCTCCTGAGCTGTAGCTCTACAGAGAGATGTCAATATGGTTTATGCCTTACCAGGCATTGCTTTAATTATGTTAACTTCCACCTGCTTTCTGCTGCCAAGCTACTTCTTCTTTAAAGGACTTTACCAAGAAACACACTTTCCTGCATTGCTTCATAGAATGGTTTGGATTGCAAGAGCCTTTTACAGGTCATCTAGTCCAACCCTCCTGCAATAAGCAGGGACATCTTCAACTAGATCAGGTCTCTCAGAGCCCCATCCAGCATGATCTTGGATGTTCCCAGGGATGGGGCATCTCCCACCTCTCTGGGCAACTATTCCAGTGATTCCCCACCATTTTCGTTAAAATTATTCCTTATATCTAATGTAAAATTATCCTCTTTCATTTTTAAACCACTACCTTTTGTCCTGTCACTATAGGCCCTGGTAGAAAGTCTCTCTCCATACTTCATCTAAATCCTCTTTATGTATTGAAAGGCCACAATAACTTCTTCCCAGAGGCTCTTATTTTCCAGGCTAAATAATCCCAACTCTCTCGGTCTCTCTTCACAGGAGAGGTTTTGCAGCCATCTGATCATTTTCATGGCTCTCCTCTGGACCTGCTCTAACATGTCCATGTCTTTCTTGTACCATTGGCTTCAACTGCATACAACTGGCTTTCTCAGCTGCAAGGACACATTGCTACCTCCTGTCTGATTTTTCACCCCTAAGTATCCCCAGGTCCTCCTCTACAGACCTGATCTCAATTCATTCTTCCCCCAGTCTGTATCAATATTGGGGGTATCCCCAGCCCAAGGTGCAGGACCTTGCACTTTGCCTTGCTGAATTTCATGAGGTTGGCATGGGCCCACTCCTCAAGCCTGTCAAGGCCCCTCTGGATGTCATCCCTTCCCTTAGGTGAATCAGATGCACCCCTCAGTATCAGTATGCACAGATTTGGCAGCTATACATTCTAGTATGTGAAATTTAAAGGGACACAGTCAAATGCATGAGATTACATTTTTACACAGTGAAGTTCTCACGTCAACTAAACAGAAGTTTCTACTTTCACAGCTCGTAAGCAAACACAAAAGACCAGGTATGAAACACCTCCCATAACAGTATCTACTTGGTAGCAGCATTTCACCTGCAGCCAGCGTCATTGCCAGTAACTGCACTCTCCTCATGCACCGGCATGACCACATCACTCATGCACTGTTCTGGAGAGAGCAAGCATGCAGGCTCCTCCCCAGGCTCTGCAAGAGGGTGCACACAGCCATAGCAAAGCTGCAACCAAAGAGGCAAGAAGCAGGCATGTGCATACAGAGGTTAGGAAGGAGTAGCTGAAGGGGACTAGCTTCACTGCCTTTAATATTATTCTGAATTCCACCAAATAGCCTCATAAACTTTCAGTAAGGGAACAATCATTAAAGAGTTTTTAGAACCAGGATGTAAATTGCATTTTTAAAAATGACAGTGTCCCTTTAAATATTAACTTCACTTTGACAATTTCAGAACTATCTTGATGTTAATTGTAACAGTAACAATTTACAGGTTTTTCATGAGTGAACTCCACAAAACAGATCCTTGGCAATATGATGCTACTAAAATAAATAAGGTGCTCATTTCTAGCAATTACCTGATTCCCCTTATTATGTAAGGTTTTCAAACAGTGAAAATTACCTGTCCAGAATATCAGTGTCATGTTACATATCCTATGAAAACCATATTAAATATTGATTAGTAAAACAGTCAGTAGTATACAAACCAGTCAAAGTCTTTCAAATTTCTGCAACTTTTGCAGTTAGAACACACCACACAAGGAAAACAGGGTGAGGGAAAACATCAACAGGTCAAGGTTAAGCACCAAATCACAGTCAAACATTGTAAGCTTCAAAACAACCCATTATATATTGTTAATCAGATACAGTTAATCATAACTTTTCAGTGTTATACACAGTTTCTGAAAAGATCCATTCACTACATTCACTGCCCTTATACCTAGTAACTCTACAAGTGGGATGCAAAATCACTATGAAGTATGAGACTCTTGCTTCCTGAACCAAATGAAGCTCAATTCACAAAAGCTAAAAACAATCAAGAGTAAAAAAAGCTGAACTAAAGTGCTTCCAAAATAAGTGTTGTGTTAGTATATTCCAACAAGAGTGGCAGTTCACAACTACTGTATTACTTAAATTGAGGAGACCTTCAGCTTTCTGCTCAATCATTTAGGAAAATGCTAAGTTTGCAGTGTTCTTCACACAGTGATCTGTCGCAGTCCCCAGAGAACAGTACCAATGAGTTTCTGACAGTCAATCTGCAGAAGTAGGGGAGGAAAACGTGTCCTAGAAAACATCTAGACCATAGGTGATTACTACGTTCTGAATGCAAAGATACCTCGGTATTTCAGTTATGCTGTTTAATTAAACTCAGCATATTTTCAGTGTGTTAAATTAAAGTTCTGCCACCTACTTCTCTGTAACAGATGTCTCAGGGAATACTGCATCAGAGTAACAGTAAAGAGCAGGTGTGTAATCAGTTACTGTTTTATTCAGCAACAATAGAGATATGGCACCAACAGGGCACACACTAGTCTTGCTGGACTTAAAAATTCACTGCAGCAACCAACCAATTCTACTTGCCTCCTACTTCTACACTTGAACACACAACAAGCAGACTACTGAAAGGAAAGAATTCCTGGGCTACGCATGCTGCTGAAGGCAGAAGAAAATCTGTTTGGAG